AACTTTATACGCTACTCCCTAAACCCTGCAAGATGACCGTAAAACGCGCCTAATCACACCCTACACTACCCCCACCCTAACACTCCTCCACCCAGCAAAAAAAAAAGGGCCTACACCAGGCCTTGAGGCTGAAGGTTTAGGATTTCGAGTTTTGACTTCACCTTGGCTTTGTCTTAGGCTGGGGTGAGTTAGGGTGGGGGTAGTATAGGACCCCTAAACCCTAAAACCCTAAAACCCTAAAACCTTTAAGCTCTGAAACCCTAAACCCTGAAACCCTAAAACCCTAAAAACCTAAAGCCCCAAACCCTAACCCCAACAACCCTAAACCCTGAAACCCTAATCCCCTAAAAGCCTAAACCCTGAAACCCTAAACCCTAAACCCCGCGCGTCCGGCCTCCATCCCATCCTCTTGAGCCAGTAGCTCTCTCTGTCGCATGGCTTGGAGAATACGAGTAGTAATGGTACTAATACTAACAGTAATAGTAATAGAAATAATACTAGTAATAATAATAGTAATAGTAGTAGTACTAGTACCAGTAATAGTAATAGTAATAGTAATAGTAATGGTAATATTAATAATAAGAATAGTAATAGTAATAATAATAGTAATAACAATGGGTCTAGGGTTTAGGGCTTATAACAGTAGTGATGGTAATATGAATACTAGTAAGTTTGGGGAACTGTTGCTGCAGGAAACCTTTGCACCAACTTTCCTTTTGTGAGCTTAGGGTTTCGGGGTTTCGGGTGCAAGGCTTGGGGTTTAGGGCGCTGGACGGCCATAATTGCCCAAGCTATCAAGGAAGAAGCCTAAACCCTAAGTGGTGCAGGATTTCTTTCATCAACAGTTTGAGGCTGCGCAGGGGTAATAGGCGCGGATGGCCTAAATTGAGTTGCTGTTAAGGAGCTTAAATGAAGTTCCCATATTCTGGGCATACAGGGTTTAGGGTTCAGGGCTTACGTTGCCACAATGGGTACATATCGTAATGAATACGGCTTCCCCAATATGGTAACTTACATTAAACTCCTTACCGACACCCCAGTAGAGCTTCCAAAGGCGCGCTAATTGTAAATTCAAACGAGGCCTAGAATCGCAGGAGGTCAACTTACTTTTGCGAATAAATGAATGAAAGGGCTAGATAAGGCCCTTTTGGATGGGTGGGGGTGGTATATCTTGGGTGTATGGGGAATTTCCAAAGTTGGGTCCCATTTTGGTACCCCTAGATATTCGGAGTCGTAATAGAACTCATAAGCAAAAGGGCCCCAGAATTTTGAGAACAACCCATATAAAGCTTGTACTAAATATCTATAAGAGGGGAAGACCGTATAGCGGGTGAAGGAGACGCCTAATGTTGAGACAGGGGGTCTCTCATATACAAGGAGGATCTAGGGATTATGGCCCCACCTCCCCCAGAACTCTATGTATCATATTTGTGGAAAAGCTTCCATACGCTTCTGGTGGAATGCCGTCGGCCTCAGACAAGCTTCTGAGAGCATTCGATGCGACAAGTACACTCAAGGGGACATGGGAGTTTCCCTAAATACGGGCGACCCGAATATATACCCAACAATAGTATAGTCCTTATTTTGGGGACCCCCCAAAAACAGGTACCCCTTGTTTTTGGGAAGCCCCCACTTATTTGGAGGGTCCCTAGGGTTTAGTGTTCTGGAGTTGGGGGTCTAGGGTTTAGGGATTAGTGGTTTAGGGTTTAGGCATTTAGAGTTTAGGGGTTTAGGGTTTAGCAGTTATGTATTGTTACCATAGCCCTTAATCAGCCCACTAACGTTAACGCCCTATTGTAACTCGTAAAAAAAGGGTAGGGTTGCAAACCTAGTAGTAGCCCCAGAGCCGGACAAAGTAACAAGTGGCTTAGTGAAGGATTCTGCTGTGACTACTGCAATGCTTAAACTCTAAACCCACGCCACACCACTCCCCGGTGGCTTGCCAGGTGTTGCTAGGGTTTAGGCCTTAGGGGTATTGGCCACACGGATTCAAGACAGGTGAACACAGTACTCCGTCGGCCACACCCCCACCCTCTACGACCTAAAAGCTTGACGTCCTCTTATTCTTATTATACCACTGTTAGAGGATTGGGGATCCTCCTTCTCTATGGGGCTTGATCCCCTCCCCCAAACTACGAACACGAATATAATCAATATTCCAGATAATGTAGAATTGGAGGGGGCTCTATTCTTAGGGGAGGGGATTACCAAGGTGGACTCGTTGCGCCATGCCCGACCAAGTTTGCACTGCCCAACATCAGGCCAATGTCGCACTAACCGCAAAAAATCAGCACATCACTCCCAACTTATTCCGCAAGGCTCCGCCTGCGCGCGATCCACCTTCAAGCAGTGACCCTGACCAGCCATCGCAGATAGTTTTTTTCGGCTACTTTGGCGCGCCTGGTAAAGGAATGAAACCGGTACTCGGATAGTCAGCGGGACTTAGTAAAGCTCATCCAGTAGCACTTCTGATAAGCTGATGGGTTCCTCTTGTGGGCCCACCTACTTCTAGACCCTAAACCCTCAAAAGTCCCCTGATGCCAAGCATTGTTCTGGCGACTTTGCGACCACTTCGGGAGATCATGCACAAGTGAGCTATAGTCTGAACTCCTAGTATCCCCTTTAATCAGCCCTATAATACTCCCCCATTTAATCCCCTATATATACCCCTTGAAGGAGTTTAGACTACAGCACAAGTGGCGGTGTGGGTACCAGAGGGTTTAGGGAGGAGTTCAGGGAAATTACCCCCCATAACGGAGAACCAAATGGAAAAGAAGAGGGAAGCTGAAATGGAACCAAGAGTTATAGTATAGGTGCATAATATTGGTTTCCTGCTAAAATCCTGCAGGACCCTAAGTCCATTTTAAAGTGGGAATTCCAGTATACTAAAGTCATACAGGACCTCGAGTATCAACAGTCTGGGGAGAGTTTGCGCATCTCAGAGTTGGTGTCACAGGAGAGGCTTAGGGTTTCGGGTTAGGTCAGGACTTTGCTGGTACATGTTTAACTGAACTCCTATTTATGTACGAATGTCCTACAGAGGTGATCATGTGTCACATTTGGAACCCGATGCCCCAAACCCGGAACTGCTAACAGTACTACTCTGGGATTTTCAGAATTGCAGTTGTGAGTTCTGAGGGTCATGCAGGGGATCGCCGCTTTGAGAAGCTACATGGAAGGCCTTGATTATGGTCCCTTGTTGGAGTACCCTATACATTAGGGGACGCATTTTAACGGAAGCCCAAGATGGCACCATAAGCTTGGCAACCAACCGCATACCATGTAAGTTGCTTGTTTTTGGATCGAGGAGCTTTACTGCCTAGGTGTGGGCCTTAGAGCCCATCCCATATCTAGTATCAAGCCTTCTACAGATCCAGCCTCGTCAGCTACAGCTGTCCTTGTGGAACCAAAACGATTGATTCAACAGGCTTCCTACACGTGTGCTGGTGTTTTCCCAACATTGCTCACTCTTGGAAGTACCAGTTTCTATACGGCATTTCGTATGTGAGCTGTCAAAATGAGACCCCATCTTTCTGTTCGTATCCTGAGCTGCTACGCAAGTTTTGGGTGACAGGCAGTGGGAGCAACAGTTTCTATGCCAAGCACACGTGAACTTACTAGGGTTAGTAGGTAATAAAGGAAACTAATCCCTATATCCAACCCGCCAGTAAGATTGCGGCCATGGCTATCATCACATTATCATCGTCATCGTTATCACCAAGATAATTACGACCAATATCAGCAACATCACCATCATCATAACCCTTTCTGTCACAATCATCGTCATCATCCTTACCACCACCAGCATCATCAGTATCGCTATCATCATGCCCAAGTTCGTCATATGTGTAAACGCCATGTACGTCTCCTCCGGCTGCTACGCTTATGATGATACCCTATGTCCGTTAGGCACAGGGACAGAGAGGACACCGTGCTGCAGGCATCCGTTTTTTGCTTGGAGTACCTGGATCTTGTGGCACCCTCTCAAGGGAATGTCTTCTGCTTTAATGGTATGTAATCCTGAAATTCTGGGGTCCCATGAGGCCCAGCGTAGGGCTCCGTTGGGAAACCCTAACCCCCATATACCCCATAACTTTGAGAAACCTCCTTGGGAAAAGAAGCCAAGCTCATTCCTTTGGGGCTGCTTCTTCGACCTTGGTGTAGGTACGTGAAAATCCAGGTAAGGTAGATGGTATAGGGACGGTTTAGGGTTTCGGGTATTAGACAGCCAATACTGGACTATAATATGGGGTATACAAGGTTTATTATTGTCATTTTCATTTTTGATTTTGTTTGGTGTCTCTTTCCGTAGGGTTTGGGGTCTGGGGTTTGATTCATTATACTGCCAAGAGAATCAACTGGAAAAGAAAATGGAGAATTAATTGTAAACTGGGGATATGTGCGGGGCTTATTCTGTTGATCCTAAAAGGGCTTGCAAGACCGCAGTACACGAGAATACTATGATTTCACATGTATAAAGTACTTCCGGTATGATCTTCTTAGTATGAGCCATGCGGTCCCTGTTGCAGACCCCGCAGCAATAGCATGCTGCGCTTGCATGCCTCCACGAACAGTAGGTTTCAGGGAACACGGTGTAGGGTTGGGAGTTTACGGTGTAAGGCATAAGGTTAACCTGCATGTGTCTAAGAGATCCCTCAAAGGAGTCCCGCGCAGGGCTCGCCCCGGAATGCTAGGTAGGAAAACTTTTTTTGTGCAACCAGACTAGATCCTTCCTTTTGTCACCAAAAAAAGCCCGTTCTGGATTTCTCCGTCGATGGAGCAAGTCTTCAAAACCACCTAGAGGCATAAACTGCTGTAGCTTCTCGGGAATTGAAGTGGTGGAGGAGTTCCTCCATCAACCCCCCAAACCCAAACCCCTAAATCCTAAACCCTGAACCAGACCTATCTGGAACAGGTTTGCAAGGGGTTGTAATGGGATAATGGAAAAGAAAATGGAACACAGGTCTCCATCCCAAGGCCCTTTTCGCAGCGAAAGATGCTGCCGGAAACGTCAAGCTTGGGGAGTGCTCGCCAGGAATGCGGAATTCGCGATATGCAACTGCCTAGGCAGCAGGGATAGAAGTATGGGCCCCCAATACGGGCCCTTGGCGCTTCTAGAGGGATCCTAGGTACCCTTCAGGGTACATATAGGGTATATCGTAGGTACATAAGGATTCTTGACAGTAATGTTGAGACTATGGAGCCATGGGCCCCTAGCATGGGCACGTAACCTTGGATTCCCTCTATACCAAGGACCATATTAGGGGCCCATACTTCTAGAAATTCAGAACTCTAAGGCTCTTGGGTTGTCTGGAACTCAGCATCTGATGTGGGATCCTCTGAAAAAACCAGCTGCTCCGTTTAATACCCCTATCATGCAAATTTTGCCTGTCCCGTATCCACTCGCCGAACAAGCAGGAGAAGCGTCCTAGGTCCTAGGTGATGCACTCCTTTTTTTTTCCAATTACTGTAGGTATGAACTCTTCGCGTTTGTACACTATGTCCCCACGTTCCCTCCAGGTCCTGCTTGTCTCCAAACAACAGGGCTTCATAGCGTGGACCATCCCAGTTCAGAAGCTGGAATTTGGCAAGCTTTGTAATTTCCCCAAAACTTCCATAGGAACCTAGCATGATAATTACCCGTAAAGCACGGTGCATCTAACACTCTTGAGAAGCGGCTGGCACAAAGTTTGGTTTAGACACTCTGCCAACGGACCCAGCCGACGGCCCTTAATATAGTGACCACCTGCCCCGGCCCCCAAACCCGAAAAAATCTGCCCATAGTATTAGTTCCAAGATTGCAGGTAGTGCTGCGTGGGGAGAATATATATATATATACATGTATATTACCTGATGTAGGGGGAATCACTTTGCGCAAACAAGTAGGTCAGCACAGCTACATGATGAAGGACATCCTGACGAGTAATGCCTTGATTCCGAAGCAGCCGGCCCAGAAAATCTCCTAAACCCCAAACCCTAAACTCAAAACTCTATTACACCTATATGATCTCTATACTGCCCCTATATAATCCCAATACTGCCCCTACATAATCCCAATACTACCCCTATATAATCCCTATCAGGCAACCTTGGCATCGTTACCTCCCCAGTGCTTAGTAGGGAATAGAGGGATGTTTTGTAGCCTCTGCTATCAACTATCGGAACCTATTCCCTCCTTCCATAGGAAGCACCAGGCAAGTATAGTCTCCCTTAAGTAGATAGAATATGGGGTATATGGGGATTCTTTAGAATATACCCAAAGCCGTATTCTATCTAATTAAGGGGGACTGTAATCCTAAAGCCCTCACACTCAAATTCTAGCAATGCCCCACATTCTGCAAGCCTTGAACCCTGAACCCTAAGCCCAGATGGAGCGAGCTGCGAAATAGGCGACATTGAACAGCAAACAGAGGCCGGCAAAAATAGCTGCAGCCTCGGTGATTTGGGGTACCTTATTCGTGTCCCCATAACAAGGATCATAATGCATTGGGGTCTATATTGGGGCGCCCCTGCTTGGTAGAGAATGATGGAGTGTCAGTTTTGGGTTTAAAGCTCTGTCCGCTTTAGAGACACACTCATATCGTCGAACTCCAACCCCAAAACCATAAACAGTAGTTCCATTTTCTTTTCAATTACCCCAATATAAACCCTACACAATCCCAATATAACCCCAATATAACCCTTGAAAACCCAAAGCTCTGCGGCCAACATCCTCCTCAGTGAGCCCTAACCTGAAAGCCTCGCCCATCCCCACAGCAAAGACCAACAAAGGTTGAACATGGGGGGTTCTGCTAAGGATCTATATGGGTTGTTCTGAAAATTATGGTCCCTTTTTGTTTGGTTATAGATTGTATTGCGGCACCTAATATTTAGGGGTACCAGAATGAAACACTAATTTTGGGAACTACTCATGTGGTAGTTTTCCAAAAGGAGCGTCCACCAAATTAGACCTTATGGGGATCCCACAACAGGGAGCCCGAATTCCACCATATAGGTTTTATCATCTATACCTACAGTAAACCCTAAACCCCCCTAAACCCTTTACCCAATACCCCTAGCCTCCAGCCGCATAAACCGCACGGCCTCCACCCTAAACTCCTGGATCTTAAGCCGCACACTACACCCCCCCCTGTGCAAGTTCTTCACATTTCTCCTTGAACAGGGAACCCCCACCATCCCCTCACACTCAAGGTAGTTACCAAGTTTTGGGCTTAGGGTTAGACCCTATACGGTCCCTAAGAGCTCGTAAATAGGAAATGTCAACTGTCTTGTCAGCTCCAGTGGCACCAAGGTCTTGTAGCGACTCCTGCGCACGCCCAGGTTCTTCGCTTATTTGCTGATGCTACTTTCAAGTCGCGCCTGTACCCTAAACCCTAAACCTTAAGCCCAAAACCCCCCCCCCAACTCTAAACCCCTAAACCCTAGACCCCTAAACCCTAAACCTTTAGCATTACCATCTGATTACTGTGATGAATGGGGAGCTACCCAACGAGGGATCCGAGGCAAGCTCGTCACCAGCGAAACTTGTCAAGCATGGTTGGCAAATGGGCTATCTTCTATCTATCTATATATATACATATGTAGAGCTACAATTCCAGGGTAATGTAGCAGTATAAGTAATTAGTTATGTAGTAATCCAATAATAGGATTTTTGTTCACGCAGAAATTTGAGTCTGGACCTGGCAGAGGCTTTTGAATCCAGCGTTGCGCCCCGCTAAGCAGAGTGGGAATTGACCTGCTGCCTGGTGGAGTCCTGTACTATCCTACCCCCCAGACTAAAAATGGAATCCCACTATGTAGAAACCCTTTCTGCGGTTCCTAATGCTCCTATTGGAAACTCGACACGACCTTGATATACAAAACTCCCATACCTCCCAGACGTCTGGGGTAGTTAGGTCCTGCAGGCATCCCGGCATGAACGGTAATCCTTTTTTGGGGGAGTGTCGACTGTGGCTGGGGTACTGCACCCACCCAGTAACAGTCCATAATAAGGGTATGATTAAACGCTTAATAGGATTATAATATGAAGATTCTGCAGCTGTTCCTGGGTACGGGCAGCATCCAAACTATAGTGTCCCAAAACTTCCCTAGCCCTGAACCCAATAGGATTCAGGGTTTAGGGTTTAGGGGTTTAGGGGTTTAGGGTTCACAGGGTTTCCTATTTCGTGTGACGATCTGGCCGTTGATAGAAAGCACTCTATTTTTTTTTTGGCCGGCAGATTTCTGAGTCAACCTGAATCTTCCACCGTAACCTGTGATGCTTAATCTCAACCTGGTGGTCTCCCAAAATTGGGGTCCCTTTTTGGCGTCCCCATAATACGGATTATAGTATATTGGGGTCTATATTGCGGTTCCCCAATTCTGGGAAGCTACTACACATCTGAAGAATGTACTTGAACTAGACAACTCCGCGCACCCCATACAGATATATATATATATATATCTTCATCACTTGCCATCGCGGTTTACTACTAGCCACCAGTGTGTGGGCTGCGACTGTTCTAGAAGTACGGCACCCATCGAGCTTCCTGGGGACGAAGGGTGGTGTGGCAGATCAAGGATTTGAAGAAGGCTTGGTCCCTATACAGGCCCTATGACTCATGAGACTTTCCTGCGTTCCCTGCCGCTAGCCACCAGTAAGACAAGATTGAATCCGGACTGTCCTCAGGGAGAAGGACAATCAACATCGCGGCTGCCGTCAGAAAGAAAAAGCTGACCTCGTGGGGGATTCTTGCTTACGGTAAAGAGGGGTCAGTCTACGTCAGAGAACAAGCAGGCTTTCGCACTTAGTGATGAAGAAGAAACCTGTTGTCCAAGGAAGAAGCAGCGTAACATAAATACACAGAAGGTCATTTTTGGGTCCATGCACCCTGCCAGACTGAGATTCAGCAAATCTTCCTGCTTATCATGGTCCGCTTGATCATGCAGCACCTGCCCTCCCCAAGCAAGCCTAAACCTTAAACCCTAGGGCCCCCCTTGGAAGAACCCAAAGCCTGGTCGGGGCTTGTAAGTTTGCTTGCGGAGGGTGAGATTAAGCAAGTCATTCAAGACCGGTATCTGCTCGTTGCGAGGAACTCCCAAAACGAAGTCGTTCTACACACCTTGCCAACTGACTTGAGAAAGCTGGGCTGCTGTCAAAAAACTCTTAAGTTAAGCTACCACTAGAATTTAGGGTTTAGGGTTCAGTCACTATTAGAAGCAAGGCCCAACATTTTGAACGTAATAACTCAGGTTCCTGAACAGCTGAAACTTCACGTGCCGAACTCCCCTTCCCTACTTCAACTTCATCTCCCAAGCCCGACACTTGGACCTAAACAGGGTCGCTGTTCAAGAGCATAATCTAATTAAGGCCTAATATTGGCGATCTACCCATATTATGGTAACTTGGTTTAAGTTCCTTAGCAGCAACCCAGTCAAAATCGTTCTCAACCTGGAAGATCATGGATGCACAGTTTCAATTGTACTGTCATCTTGAATCCTGGTAGTTTCCATACGACCCCCAATGTTGGGAACCCCCCTCCTCCCCGTGCCTTAAAGCGCAACCCTAAACCCACGCAGGAGGCCGAGCCCTACAACTGGAAATCCAATTACGCAGGCCCACAGCACTATACCTCAGCGATTCACATCCCCAGAGTAGGGTAGGTGCCTGTAGGGACCCTGCGGATGTAGGATATTTTGGGGAGGATCATCATGAAGGGCCTCTTTTGAACATCTCGCAGAAAGGCTACTGAGGAACCGGCGGCGATGTAAGTGTCCAACATTGTCAGGTAGCCAAGCTTCGGGACGCTATCCTTCATTGCAGCCGCTTAAGTTTATACGTCTATTGTCTAGCCAAAACGTGTCGTTACCCCAGTCGCCCCCTGGCGATGCCGTTAACGTATCGCTTCCAGTTTTTTTTTGGAAAATGCTTATGTTCAGCGGCGTCTGTGCGTGCTTTGGTCATAGTGTTTCTGAGGGGAAGTGATTATATACACCTAAATATAACCCAATATAACCCCAATATAACCCCTATACTCTAAACCCGAGCCGATGCTCCGCGTAGGAGAACTTCATGGCCACCAGAGTCAGCATCAGGCCAGCGACCAGGGATAAGGGAGATTCGCCTTGCCAGGCGTTGGTGGCTTTCATGGGTACATGTAAGAGGACCTTTGTCCTACTACATTTGCTTCTGATGGTGTGTTCACGTTAATCCTACAGTTGTTCTTCAAGATTTCTACTTGGGTGGTTGCCAAAATTATGGTCCCTCTTTGGGTACCCTACAAAAATATATATATATATATAAGGTGCCGTATTATAATAGTGACCCACAACCGCCCACTTGCTTTTCATGGTCACTTACCATGCCGTGACCCCTCTGCTAATCTCGGCACCACGCAGAATTTCTAGCGGCGAAGCAGTCGGACTGAACTCTAAATCCTCCAAAAGCTGAATTGGAGCCATGTGAGCTATAGTCTAAACTCCTTCAAGGGGGTTATATAGGGGATTATATAGGGGGACTACTTTAGGAGTTAGAAAGGGGGATACTAGGAATTTAGACTATAGCTCATGTGTTAATTTTGCAAAGCCACCCCCAAAACGTGGGGAAGCGATCGGACGAAAGGTTGCAAAACTCCACAGCAACGAATAGGCCCACAACTCCTAAAAACTCCAAACCCGGAAGCCGTAACAAGAAATTCTGACACCTTAAAGGGCGGGCCTCGCAATACCTAGATCCTCAACCCTAAGCCCCACCATCCCCTATGTTACTCCATAGCTCCCGACCCTAATCCCTCAACCCTCAAGCCTAAATCCTAAACCCTACATCCTAAACCCCAAACCCTAAAACCCTTAACCCAACGGCCAAGCCTCCCAACACGATTGAGTTGGGTGCTTCACCTGATGCGATGAGGATCGCACCTGACAACTTATTGAGGTCTTAGGGCTTAGGCTTTGGGGGTTAAGGCTTTCAGAATTTGGGGTTTGGGTTCCCGGTTTTAGGGTTTATTAGGGTTTAGGCTTTTGGATTTGGGGTTTTTAGGCTTTGGGGGTTGGGAGTAGGGTTCGGGGTTTAGGATTTATTGGGCTTTAGGTAGAAAGTACTCTGGGTTCCCGTTTAGGGTTTAGGACTCTTCTGGGTTCGATGTAGTCAATCTTCAGCAGCTTAATCAAGTCTCAAAAGACATGCTTATCACAAAGCACCCAAATATCAAGGGTCCTCTGACAAACCCATAAAGCCAAGTAGCACTATCGGGTTTTCGTCGCGCGATATTGCAAAGTCAGGGCGTCTAAACCCTAAACCGCAAACCCAACCCTAAACCTATGCGGTATGGCACATTTTGCGGTCCATAGGTATCTCAAAACGAAGTATGCATGAGTCAGACAAATACCTACATTGAGTTAAGGTTTGGGGCTTATATCCTACCTATAACTGTAGCTATAACCCAATTAGAACCCTATTTGGGGGGAGTTGGGGGATTTATAACCGGTCTATAAGGACAGCTAAGGATAGGTTATAAGTGACCTGCCCCTCCAAGTGGAACCGGTGGCCTGGAAAGTGTTTGGGAGCTTAGTGGGACAGCGCAAGACGTTCATACGGATTACACGCAGTTTTTCTAAGCCGCTGAGTAATTCGATGTATTAGAAGCACCTCACATACAGAAATATCAAAACCCAATCCTGGAAACCTTACCTCCTAAGTTGTGGTCCTTCTTTTACGTAAATCACTATTGGGGCCAGGCCCCGGGAATGCGTCGTGAGAAAGATCGGAAACCCCAAGTCTTGGGGAGTAAGTAACTACAACTGATCCAAGATGCTAGCCCTAAGCCCTAAATCCTAAGCTCTAAGCCGCAGCTCCTAAACCAGAATCCCTAAACCCTTGGGACCCCTTGGGGAACAAAGCTCTTCCTTTGGCGGCTTGCATTTTGAAACTTGCCATGGCTCGGACGGCACAAGGGCAGGTTTAAGGTTGGTTTAGGGTTTAGGATTAGTTTAGGGTTCCGTGTTTACAGTTTTTCCTTGGAGTTTTGGGCTGTTCCCGCTACCCCCCGAGCCTAAGCCCAACGCTGCACTGTAAATTCAAAACGGTGACTGGTGTCCCCATCCCAGGACTGAATTCAGTACATGTCGCTGGCGCCCATGAAGGTCACCACGGCAGTAGGAAAGAGCAGAGCCACGATGAAATAGAACGGCTTTCGTCGAACCTGCTTAGGAACCACTCTCTGCAACCACACAAAAATGCAGTATGTCTTCACGCGTAAGACCATTGGCCTGTACTATGGGCCTGAATCCTGGGCTTGAGACACATGGGGCTTATGAGTGCTCTTTGCGGGTCTGTCCGGAGATTATGTAAGGACTCTGAAAATTCCCTGAAAGAAACTGTAGTTGCTGAGTCAGTTCCCATGTACACCTACTGAAACATGCTAGAGAAAACTAGCCACCCAAACCCTGTCACCATGGGATGCCCTGATTATTTAGGGGTCCAAAGGATATGAGAGGAACCATAAAAGGATTGTAGGATTCTTTCGGAGGAATGTATCATGGGAATTTGAGAAACTCAATCTCCATACATACTTGGGTTGCAGTCTGGAAGTAAGAGAAGGTTTGAGGACATGGTTAGTGTCTAGTTCCTTCTTAATATTATGTCTCACTGACAGTGTGATTTGCGGTCATGAGCATGTAGCACCGAAATCACCCAGACTATATACCCAGAGAGAATTCAAAGAGTATCAGGCCAAGTGTGCCTGAATAAAAGGCACAAACAGATAGCCAGGTACCCATAACGGTTTAGGGTCTGGCAGTTGGAACGCATTCAAACAAGCTCTAGGCTAGGTTCCCCGGTAACCCCTTAATAATGAGGACACGCATTTTTCCAATATTCCATTTTGGTAAGGAGACCACAAAATAAAAAGAGGAAGAGGGTCCTACTGGCGTGCCTAGTAGCTCTTCCGTAAAAATGGAGCCTACTATCTAATTTGCGGTCAGACTAGGGTCTAGCCAGACCCCCTTGGGAGGATCTGAAAAATTAGATCCCCTATATAGACCCATAAAAACCCCTATATAATCCTTATGATAATTTCCCATCTGGTTCTAGGGGATCTAATTTTTAGATCCCTTTGGGGGTCTGGGATAGCCACCATGAGTTTTTAAGGTAACCAAGGAGTTGGGCCTCGGTCTTAGGGAAGCCGAGCATTGCTGGGAGATGAGGGTTTCCTAGAATTAGGGGTACCCTTTTGGGGGCCCCTATAATAAGGACTATAGTACTTTGGGGTCTATATTAGGGTCCCCCTATTTTGGGAAACTACCAGATCGAATCAGTTCCAAACCCACCACTGCAGCAAGTGGCCCAGAATCGTCCGTAGAACATCAGTTCGTTATCGCCCGCCCGCGCTCTGTTTGGAACAACATTGCTCTCCTAGGTTCGAAACTTCCATGGGTAAAGGTTTCGGATTTAAGGCTGGGGCTTGGAGGTTTCGTGTTTGGATTTTGCAGTCTATAGTCCCCCCTTAAGGAGATACAACACGGACTTCCTCAAGGTCATCATAAGATCCCCAATACCCCATATTCTATCTACTGAATGGGCTATAGCCTGACGCCACCCTAAACCCTTAGCCTCAAGTGGGACCATAGAATTTCAGGGCGTAGGGTCTGGTTTGGGCCTTGGGAAATGCGGCTGCAGAATGAAAGCTCAAGGCTGGAGATCCCCAATAATGGTTTAGGGCTGGTCTAGGGTTTAGGAGTTTCGGGTTCAGGGTTAGGTGAAGGTTTAGGGGTATTATCCCCAATCATGGAGAAACAAATGGAAAAGAACATGGGGAATGACATGGAAGCTGGGTTATATTTGGGTGTTTATAGGGAGTAGCGCTTCCTAAAATCAGCGGTAGTTTTTTGCAGGTCCTTATAATAAGGATGAACGTATTTGGGGTCTGGATTGGTTTCCCCGCATTCCTAGAAACTACCAAATCTTATCCCACCTGGGCTCCCCACACTACTGCAGACCCAGACCCCAGAAGGGATCCAACAAATGAGATCCCCTAGAACCATCTGTGAAATTTCATGGTGGATATCATGGGCTTATATAGGGGATCCAACCCCTAAACCCTAAACCCTAAACATAAACCCTAAACCCCTCAGGGGTCTGGGGAAGTGAAGGACCCTAAGCCCTAAGCCCTAAACCCTGCGCCCTAAACAGTGCTCCTCTGTGTGAACTGGAATATTGGCTACCACTTGTGTAAGCGATATGCGGCTCATTAGCCATGAGTAGGATGAAGCTACGAACTAAGCTGCTCCTAGACCCTGGACAGCAAAAGTATGTAAAATGATCGCCTTTAGGGCTGTTGTTTTGGGTTTAGGGCTATTATTTTACATACTGTTGGGGTTTAGGTGAACCTTAATCCCAACTCCAAACCCTCCACCTTGAATCTCGAACTTGAGTTCCCAAGCCCCGCAGCTGTGCGAAATCCTAGAAACACTGAACCCTAAACCAAAAAGCAAGTCTCGCAGATGTAAGGGTCCCATCCACGCAGTGGTTGAGGATCTCCCCGGAAGCCCAAAACATCAAACTCCTCGGGCTCAGGAACCCTAAGCCCTAAACTCTGGCCCTAAACCCTAAACCCTAAACCCTGGTTTTAGAATCCCGGGTTTGGTGTTCCGGGTTTAGGGTTTAGTGTTGAGGTTCAGGGGTTAGTGTTGAAGGTTCAGGGTTGAGGTTAAGGGATCAGGGTTTAGCGGGTAGGGCTTTACCCTAGACGCCAAAAGGCCTTCAGTTTTAGGATTCCTTACATGAGCTACAGCCAATATTTCCCAGATCAATAGTGGACATGGGTTCCTTATCAGTGACTATATTTCAGACGTTTACAGACTATACTCGACTACAAGGTCCCTTGGTAGGGCTACTAATGACAGTAGCCCGCACGAGGATTTATACTCGCGGTTTAGGATTTAGGTTCTAAGACCTGACCCAAGGTCTTTTGGGTCTAAGGAAAGGGGGCTGCCCTGGCAAGAAACCATAAGACATATCATGCACCCTCTTCCACATCGCCTGTTTTGTGAATAGGCCGACTTCACTTGTTGGATAAAGAGTAGCTATAAGTTGGGTGCTAAGTCTCCTCTAGGGTTTAGGGTTTAGGTTTTATTGTTATCTATGATTTTAGCCCCACTTACATTAGGACCCATATGCCAGCCCATATACTCCCAGATCCCATTCCATTCGCCGTTTTCCGCTTGCGTCCATTATCCCCATGATTTAGCGTCTGTTATAACCCTCGACCCTGAATCCTCAACCCTAGACCCTAAACCGACTGTCTTTCTCGGTCCAGCTTTCTTGTTTGGCTTCATACATGAGTAGTGTAGACTCATGATTAATGAAGCCCCTCTCTTTAAGGACCCTGATATCAGGATCCCTATTATAATTCCTATTAAGGAGGGGAGGTTATTAACAAGGGGTCTACATTAGTGTTTACCCTAAACCCTAAACCGCTACAGTAATCCCTAAACTAGTAATGTTTAGGCGGCGTGGGGAGGGCATGTTTTCATGCCGCAGCTCCGTAACCATATGATAGGGTTTGGAGTTTACAGAATTTGGGGTTGCGTATATATTCCCCCTTAAGTAGATAGAATATGGCTGTGGGTACATTATAATAAGATCTCCATATACCGCATATTCCATCTACTTAACGGGGACTACAATACTGGAGAATCCAACGGAAAACAGCATGGAAAACATATGGAACGAACACTGCGGTGATATGAGGATCTAAGGTTTTGAAACGAAACAGGTATACGACGAAACACTAGTGTTACAGGGGTGAATAGGACATTTATAGAGAGAGGTGTATGTATGTATGTATATATATATATATATGGATTTATACATATACATGCACACACACATATACATATAAGGGTTAGGAGTTAGGAGTAGGTAAGTGTATTACGAAAAGGTTGGGCATCAGGGTAAGCCTTGAAACAAAGCGACTATGGGGAGCTCCAGTGCACGGTCTATAGGCCCCCTTAAGTAGATAGAATATGGGTCCCTTTAAAATGGTTATGTAGGGATTATATGGGGATAATGGAAAAGAAAATGGAAACTACTATTTAGGGTGTAGGGTTTGGAGTAGATATTAGGGTTATATTGGGATAATGGAAAAGAAAATGGAAACTACAGGGATTATAAGGATTATATAGGGATTGTATAGGGATTATATAGGGATTATGTAGGGGTTATATTG